ATCGGCAATGGCCTTTTCTGGTCGCGCTGATCGGCTCAGGCAGCGTTTCAACCAGTCAACTCGGGACGGCGTGGTTCCACTTTAACGAGCAGCCATTGTTCCCCCGTCTTCACTACGCTGACGTCATCCCTTCCACGAAGTGATCACGTGATACTCTCATGTCAAATGTATTCACTCAGGAGCCAAAATAAGTTTCATAACTCCATTACGGCTATCCCTGTTAGTATAGTGTATGCAAAAAGCACATCCACACAAATCACTGCATGTCATGTCCGTCTGACAATCTATAAAATGTTCTAATTACACAATAAAAATACAACTCAATGGCGTCAAATTTACCAGGCGACAAGTGCTTTCGGACTTACCGGATCTGCCGTCCCAACCAGATGGCGCACTACCAATGAGCCCAGCAGGTATCACTTACACACATAGAGGCTCTCAGTAGACCCGCACATACGAAAGCCTTATCTGAGCGGGCTGCCAACGTCCTGACCAGGGCGAACAGGGGCCTACATTTCTAGGTTGCGAGCATACACTGATTGGTGTAGCGGAAGGGAGATTGATCCATACCATCCCTCTATTGGCCAGGTAGCAGGCTCTTTTGTCCACCTGTTTGACGAAGTGGGTTGTCCTACACAGCGATCGTTGGCTACAGGTCAGTCTTGTCCCCCACCACTCTAAATGTATGGGAACAAGACTAGCCGATTGTCCTATTATTAGGAGACTATTTACTGCTTTCCGGATGCCAAGACCCCATACAAGGGAGCCGCCCAACTGGGACTCGTCGGCTGTGTTGTCTGCTCTAAGCAGAACGCCCTTTGAGCCTCTCCAATCAGCACCACTCAAATTTTGAACGTGGAAAATAGTCTTCCTACTGGCCCTTGCCTCAGGTAGGCGCGGCCAGAGCTGGGGGGGGGCATTGTACTTCTCGGATGATGGACTGTCGTTATGGACAATCAAGTTGTGCTAAAGACACGAATCGGGTTTCTCGTTTAGAACCAAATCCCAGGACACTATCCTCACCCGATCGTCATCCCTCGGCTGTCAAATTTTGTCTGCCCGGAGGGTCAGGAGGAATTGCTTCTCTACCCGGTTCGAGCACATAGTTGCCACCAAACCATACTAAGGATTTGGAACAGGGTGCCAGGCACACATCTTTGTGTTATGGCCTAGGCAGGCAGGATATGCCGGTCTCCCCAACTTCTATAACTAGGTGGTTTACTGCGACTGTAATAGAGGTCTAATACTTTATATTCCTCGACACAGAGCTCGCAGAGACACCAAGTACGAGCTCATGAGGTCTGTGCGATGGCTAACTCGCTAGTGCTAGCGTCAGGCCCCCCCCCCTCGAGCACACATGTAGGGCAGGTTTCTGGAGAATGCAGAACGTCTTTATCAACTACCATCTAAGAGACACCGAATCAATTGAAAAGGGTCTCTCTAGGTTGGGTCCCGTCGTAGCGGGTCAGTCTTTGTTTGCTGACCCAGCCCGAATGACCGCTAGGGTCCCTGCGCATAGGCAATAAGTCAGTCCGGCATTTTATGCGAACAGGTTTCTCTACCATCGCACTCCCCTGAGAGCTCCCAGGTCCCACTTTGCGGCCTATGCCCTCATGCAGAACTGTTTCGGTCTTTACTTTGAAAGCTTACTACCCCCCAGAATTTGGTTGGGGTCTAGCTTTCTCGGGCACACCGAACCCTGTCACCATAGCAGCATGTTGGCTCCTTGCTCCGGGGACAGCACAGGCAAGGTAAGACACTACCCTTTTTTGGGTCTTAACTAGGGTGTTGAGTTTGTTTTCATCCCAGACTGGGAAAAGACTTTCATCATTTTTTCTGTTTGTTCGGAAAAATCCGCCACCTATCGGTGTCTGACTACAGTTCAAAATAGTCATTTTGACTGACCGGAGTCTATGGTGGGTAATTGAATGTAGTGAATTAA